TCTTTCCTCATATTTAAACCTGAACCTTGTGTCAGGATCCTAAAGATGAAACTGGAGACTCAGAGTGAGTCACTGGACCTGTTTGCTCCTCTTCCCATAGTGGTCACATGGAACAATCATCCTTTCTCTAATTTTCACTGTAATTGTGTTATTAGTTACCTTATTGTATTATCTAATCTCATCTTATTACAGTGGTCAGAAAATAGGCTTTGACCCTAAATGTCTCATGACAATAGCATGGAGATGCCTTGGTCAGGGGTCCATGGGCCTTGTAAGACAATGAAAGAAACACCTCTGTTCTCAGAAACAGGGGACACCTGGGGAGAATCACACCAGACTCATACTCAGTACTGAAGACAGGTCTCATTCCCTGTAGATGCAGGAAACAAAAACAGATGAGTCTGGGATGCCCACTTCCTCAGGATGGAGGACAACAGGACATACAGCAACAGTCCTCTAGAATCTACAGGGAACACTTTCCAAGTCAGGAACAGCTGTCTGAAGTAGTGAGTGAGGACCACTCTCTAAAAATATCAGCAACTTAAAGAGGGAAATTTTACAATTTTACAGGAAATATCTTGCCACATCTCTGCCTGTACATCATTGCTTAGTTATGATCTTACATTGATGCCATAGTTTGGGTCTGTGGCCAAGGGCAGCTCCCATGGCTGTATAGATGTTGCAAGACTGGGGAGAAATGGGATGCATCAGGCATGCAGAAAGAGGGAGACTTCCTTTACCTAAGTTGTCTCTCTCTGCTCATTCCAAGGGCTGTGAGGTCAGACATGGCTCAGGTTTCAGCACTTGGCCAGAGGCTTGGTGCTGTGTCCAGGTGTAGAGGGGTCTCTAAGACTTGCTGCAGGCCTGAGCTGGATAGAATGGCTCAGATACATGACAAAGACGTTCTCCACTACATCAACAAGCAACCTGCCTCTCTTCTCTAGGCTCCACTTTTAGGAGGTCTGCTTCTCAGATTTTTTCCCTAGATAGTGTTAAAGAATCTACCATGTGCCTGGTCTTGTAATAGCCCTCAACAAATGTCAATTAAATTTTGTGATCACTGCAGAGTCCAGTTTTCCACTGGGAGAGTGTAGTTGAGTTAAGGCAGAAATGCGGATTATAGGATGGTGAACACCAGGCAGTCTGAGCCTTTGGTCCTCTGTGCAGAGGCTTTTTCACTCTCAAACTCTGAATTCCAATAGTTCTGGGTCAAAGAAAATAGTTCCAGGAGTAGCAGTTGAAAGGTATGGGGTGCAGGGGTTCCCCTTTTGCTTTATAAGTGGAGTCTGAATCAGTACTGGTCTCTCTTCACTTTATGACCCTGATCTGGTTTAGGCTGAGGGGCTTCTCTAAGAATTACCAATAGAAGAGAGGAGAGAGAGGAGAGAGAGAGAGAGAGAGAGAGAGAGAGAGAGAGAGAGAGAGAGAGAGAACAGGTTAGTCGAGTAATGGAAAGATCAACTCTTGGGAACCATGAATCCCTACAATCCATCTCCTCACTCTGACCTGTGGTGATATTTTATTTGTGCTCTAATAAATAAAGCTTGCCTGGGGACCAGAGGAAAAACCAGCTACTATATTAAACATAGATGTCAGGCAGTGGTAGCACATGCCTTTAATCCTAGTATTCAGGATGCAGAAATTCATCAGGATCTCTGTGAGCTCAAGGACACACTGGGAACAGAGCCAGGTGTGGTGGCCCAGGCTTTTAATTCCAGCACTAGTTAACCATAGAGGTCTGGAGATCTATACAGAAAGACAGGAAGTGATAGAGCTGGGCAGAAAGAGGAAGTGATGTAGCTGGGCAGAGAGAGGAAGTAAGATGGCAGAGCACAGAAAGGTGTATAATACGTGAGTACACAGGAAGTAGCTCTCTTGGGCTGAGCCTTCCTAGCAGTAAGAACTATGGCTGGCTTGTTCTATTCCTCTAATCTCTCAGCTTTCACGCCAATATCTGGCTTCTGGTTTTTTTTTTTTTTTGTTGTTGTTGTTGTTGTTTTATTAATAGGGCCGGTTAGCCATTCATGTTACACTGACCCAGCTCTTTGGCTTGTTATCCCCAGAGCAGTGTCTAGGGACAACTTGATTTATTTTTATCCATATCCTGGCCTTGATCAAAATGTTCTTCTGAGTCCCAACACAGGGGTCAATATATCAGCTATTCTAGAGCATTTTGATCTCAATATATCTTCACACACTTACCAGTGATGTGGATCTAAATGGTAAACATGCCTACGTGGCTTATATCAATCCATACAACTGTCTTAAGACCTGAGCATTTTGAGACCCTAACTTCATAAAGATAATGCCAAATAATGGCAACCTGGGGCCAGAAGTTTTACTTGAGGATCAATGCATGAATGTTCCAATCTGTGGGGACAGGCAGGGCTTGGCAATTCTTATCCTCATGATTGTCTTTAGGAAACAAATCATGTCAGAGACACCACTCCAGTTCTACCAGCAGAACTGAGCTCTCAGATAGCTTAGAAATTTGGTGCAATGTCTCTAGATGAGCATCTTGTCCCGTTCCCTGTTCGCAGGACCAATGAGCTCCATTCACTGCATCTGAGGCCTCATCTTGGGAGTCACTTCCTTATCTAAAGAGCCTGGGTTGCAGGAAGAACCCAGAGGCCCAACCTGGATGCTTTGCTGCTGAAATTTGACATGGAATATAAGTTTTGGGGATTTGCGAGGCCAGCTCTTGACTCTCCTGCAGGTTGGAGCCTAGTACAAGATATATTGGCCAGTATGTCAAGTTAGCATGGATGCTGAAAGGGATCAGCAGAACAGAGAGGACACATATGTAAGCTCTGCACACAGGTAGAAAAAGAGGACTAGGACACTCCCACAGAGATGGCAGGATATGGGGAAGCTGTGTTTTCTGGTCCTTCCTTAGACAGAAGATTACTGCCATGTGCTATTGTTGAAGACTGTAGTGTTTGCTGGGAAATGCTTGTAACATGAATCTTAAAAGATCTTATTAATAAAAAACCTGGTGCAAGTTATTGGGGTGAATGCTGGAAGATCAGAGAAGCAGAACAAGCCACAGCTACTTCACCTTGCCAATTCCTCAGCTGATCCTGTTTCCTCAGACTGGAAGCCTCTGAGTACTTATCCAGAATGAATCTCAGTTGAACTGCTGCTCAGAAGCCTAAAAGCTTAACCAGGCTCTAGTTCCTGGTCCTCACACCTTATGTACCTTTCTGCTTCCTGCCATCGCTTCTTGGGATTAAAGGCATGTGCCCACCATGCCTGGCTGTTCCAGTGTGGCTTTGAACTCACAGAGATCCAGATGAATCTCTGCCTCTGGAATGCTAGGGCTAAAGGCATGTGTGCTACCATTGCCTAACCTCTATGTTTAATATTGTGGCTGTTCTGTACTCTGACCCCCAGATAAATTTATTAGGGTGCACAATATATTGGGGGACATAATATCACCACATGTGCTCCTTGCCTGACACAGGCAGTCTGTTAAACAGACACATATGCAGGAAGATCCTCATCACATGCTTCAGAAACCTGACTTTTCTACCCTGTTCCCCTGCTTAGGGGCTCTGCTCCTAGTACTGCTTAACAAGAGCTGGAGAATCTGTCATGTGCATTTCCTCTGGGATCCAGAGAAGCACACAAGAGACAATGCTCACTTGTGCTTTAAGACCCAAATGCTTTCTCTTCTATGAACATTCTATTGGGACTGGATAAGAATCTCTGTCTCTCAAGTATTGCATAACGGGTCCAGACACTCAATGAGTTTAGTTTTACAGAGAATGCTGCTGATTTTCATCTACACCAGTCTTCTTGCTCTTTCCTCTGTGACCCTGTCTGTAGACAGGTATTAACACAGGATTCCCTTACTTCATTATGAAGGATTTCCAGTTTCATTGAAAGTGATTGAATGCTCTGAAATCCTATGCTTATACTTTAGTGACTACTATGAAATCCTCCAGGGATTTAAGCAGTTTATCAACGGGTGTTACTCAGTTTGTATATTCCACATAACTTTCCTTACATAAACCTGCTTCCTGCCTGAAATTCAAATACTTAATTGAGATTTATGTAGAATGGTATTAGCATAGTACAGCTTTGTCCATCCCTTAGGCAAATTAATTCTTTAATTGGTTCATTGATTTATTAGATATTAATGACTTCCTTTGCAGACAGGGTCACAGTATGTAGCTCAGGTTGATTTTGAACTTGCAAACCTCCTGTTGACAGAGCCTCCTCCTTCTGGTGTTACTGACATATTTGTAGCCCTTTGTCTGTCAGAAACCAGGCTTGGACTCTAACGAATTTGGTGAGAATACCACAGACATCCATGCTTGGACAATGACAGAAACACTCCCTACTTGTGTCAGTGAATGTCAGTACCAGAAGACAATGACACCAGATGTAATCACAGAACTGAAAACAAATGTAATCCCTGTACTACCATGAATCTAAACATCACTTGATGGTATGTCAGAATCAGACCTGAACAGGCTGACTGCCAACATGAAAGAACAGCACAGACACTGGACAGACCCTACAAATGCCTGAGATCTTTTGATCGCATGTTTTGGTGAACAGGTTTATTGAAAGAACGGGGATGAGGAGCTAGCAAGATGACACAGGAGGGAAGAGACTGTGTGAAAGGAAGACTGGAAGGAACAGCAGTTGTGCACACACAGGCCTCACCAGGCTCCACACAGCCTTCAACTCTTCTGAAAGGCAATGGAGTTAGCACAGCACACATGACTCAATAAGGTTCTGAGACTTATTTTCTCCATCAGGTTTGACTCTTCTTTACTACACTAATCAGACACCCACTCTGAAAAAAGTTGCACAACCATTAAAAAATGTTTAATTTCAAGAAAGATTCATCAGTTTGTAACTCAGTGAAAAGTAAAGTTCTATCATGGGTGGAGGTTTGCCAGCCCAGCCTCTGTTGGAGCAACAATGATGACTGGGGAAGGAATGCTGATCAGTGTGTGGATGGGACTTATTGATGCTCAGGGCAGGGCTGAACTCATCACCTGTTCACACTGTGCTCTCAGGAGACAGACACATAGTCACAGTCAGATGCAGGAAGAGAAGTCATCAGGTCTTGAAGCCACAGTGGGAAAAGAGAAAACAGAATAAATCCGGTTAGTCTCAGTCCAGCTGTCTTACCCTGTAGAAGAGAAGAACAAGGAAGAAATTCAGATCAGTGTCTTAAATGGTGACATTCTGAACAGCTCATCACATACACAAACTGTCCCAATCCCAAGACTCCCCAAGCTCCAAAGTTCTGTCCTCTGACCTCTCACATCAGGCCCTTTAGGGTGTCACTTCTTAAAGTTGTAACAGAAGGCTGTACATCCTAGAAACTTTACCTCCCAGTGAAAAGTGAGACAAGAACAGATCACAGCCTCTGAAGATGGAACTAAATGTTGAGGTGTGGGCTGGCTGAGAATTTCCATGGGCTCTGTTATGTACGGCCACAGGTGTCTCAGGTATGAGCCCCCAGTATGATGACTGGGAATCCTGAACATAGCTGCCTCACCGTTTACCCCTGGGAATAATCCATTTTCTTAGATTGCATAGAAGCATCAGATCTAGAAGGCCTAGAGGAATCTCCTGGCCCTTATCGCAGGAAAGTTTCTAGAACTGTGACTACAGATCCAGAGAAAGATGAGGAAACATGATAGTAGACTGCACATGAAGAGGACTAACTGGACTCCTGGATATGTGTTCTAAGTAGGAACCTTTCCATCTGACCTCTGAGGGCTAGATCAGGTCTCTGACACCTCTATCACTGCAGTGATGAATCTGTTCATTATTTCCTTCACAATAGAGTTAATGTCAGCACGTCAGCACAAGACTGAATAAGCAACTGTATGGATGTTTCTCTCATGTGTCAGGGCACAGTCTCAGCTGGACCTGATATTCCCAGGGAGACTTGAACTCAGACCCTGCCCTTTCTTTACCTTTAGTCCTCCTCTTCCATATCAGAAAAGTCACCACGGCTCCCATAAGCACAGCTCCAAGAAGCAGGCCAGTAACAATTGGCATGATGGGGACAGAGGGCTGAGGAGGCTCTGACAGAGAATGGAAGGAACAGTGAGGCTTCTGATGTGCAGCTACCATTCATGACCTTGCTCCATTTCTCCCAAATAATCCAACTGTCTCTGTGATAGGCTCTGTGCTCACACCCACTCCTTACCCCATCTCAGAGTAATGGGCTCAGGCAGGCCCTCATGATTCACATGACATGTGTATCTCTGCTCCTCCCCAGAAGGCACCACCACAGCTGCCCACTTCTGGAAGTTTCCATCTCCTGCAGGCCTGGTCTCTATCACCTCCATATCCAGATTCTGGTTGCTCCCATCTCTCTGCCAGGTTAGGGTGATTTCAGCAGGGTAGAAGTCCAGGGCCCAGCACCCTAGAGTGATATTTCCATCAGCTCTGACCTTACGGATCACATGCATTTTAGGAGTATCTGAAGGGAATGAATTAGAAAATCCAGGCTTTTTGCATTCTTCCTGAATATCTGTTACTGTGCACATAACCTTGTTTTTAATGGATGAGAAAATGGCTAGAAGGAGAGATGTAGACTCCACTCCTCAGCCTTATCTCAGGATGAAGATGGGGTAATCTATTCCTTGGAAAGTTTCAGAATCACCATGAGCCAGCACAGAGCAGGGGACTCTGGATTGCCCTCTAGGAATATGGACTTCTGGTTCTGACTGGATGGAGACTCAGACTCAATAACACTTGGCTCAGACCTCCAAAGTACATGGACATCAAACAGGCATGACAGAGATCATGGTTCACAAGGCAAATGGAAGGGAAATGCTGCATAATTGACAGACTGATCTATCCCGAGAGAAGGCTTAGCCCTCTGGAGAGCTCCTCTCTTTTGTTGAATTAGGAAACCCATGACACTCTTTCCCCTTGGATGCAAGACGGAGTTATTACTCCAGCTTCTCCCTGCTGGAGGAATCCTCAGGGGACAGGAGTTTCAGTCTCAATTCAGGGTTGGCCATTTCTTCCTTACCTGTTCTCAGCAAAATCTCTTTCCCATAGTCCAGCTGATCGAAAAGCAAAGGCACACAACTAGTCTCCAAGGAAGTTTTCAGAGAGTTTGCAAAACCTGACTCCTCCCACTCTTGCCTCTGCATTTCAGCTGCCTTGCCGACTGCAGTCCAAGTTCTCAGGTCCTCATTCAGCACAAGGTAATCATGGCCATCCAAGATGAATTCATATTGTCCACGACTGAAGTACACTCCAGGCAGTATATCGCAGGCCATCAGGATCTGCAGTGTATGATTTCCTGTCCAAGTCCCTACTGTCAGCCACTCTCACAGGGCCAGGTCCCTTGGGGCCCTCCAGTGGCTCAGTCCCTCCCACTTGGCCTTTTTAAATGGCCACATTTGAGCTTAAATTGTGCAGAAAACCTGGTCAGTGTACCCAGGCTCTCTGTAGCCTATTTGGGTCATATTTACTGGGGTAAATTTTGGATATGGGGGACTAGAGTAAACCCATAGGGAACTTTAGATTTGGGATTTCTTATTTGGTTTCACTCACCACTTTCACTTTGATTGTAGAAGTGAAGCATTTTCTTCATTATGTCAGCGTAATAGTCCATTAGACTCAGGAAGTTCTTTGTCTTCTTCTCCCAGTACTCTGGCTTCTGCTGATCCACCCATGGTGCACAGTGCTTCATCCTCAGAGGCTCCTCTCTGCTGTTGAATCTCTCAAACTGCGTGTCACCCACAAAGGCCACAATGATGAAATGGGGCTCCAGGAGGCCAGGCCAGGTGAGCAGAGTGTGTAAAAGGCGCATGGAGTGTGAACCTAGGTGCAGTGGGCCTTTAGATCTAGAGCACCCCACGTAGTTCCCTATGAAGCTCCCCACATTGCTCCCAGGGGAGCAGGGAGCAGGGGACAGGGGTTATAATATAAAATAAACCAGGGACCAGAAGGTCCTGGCTGTGCTAGGTGAGAGACAGAATTTCCTGTGCTGCAGCCCCAGGGTCCTTTCATCTCCCAGGTTAGATCCTTTCCCTCCTGACATCCACACTCACCCTCTAGATGCCTGGTCAGGGCCAGATTGGCCAGGAGCAGCAGGAGGAGAGCCTCAGGGATAAAGGTCTTCATCCTGCTTGAAGAGTGGTCACTGAGTCTCTGCTAGTGTGTGTTCAGTTTATAATCTTGATAGGGAGAAGGCTGATTGGCTTCTCTAAGAATTCCCAATGGTAGTGATAGAGAGCATTGTGATTGGGTCATGGAAAGATGAACTCCTGGACGAGGAATCTCCTGGGCCCTGCTTTCCTGGCTCAGACTCAGCTCTGGGACCTGGGATCCTAGAAGCAGTGTAAGAGGACAAGTTGCTTATCCTGTTCCTTGTCAGCCTCATCCTGGTTATAGTTTCCTTCCAAGTCTAGCTCAGAGGCCATTGTGTCTGCCTTCTCACACCAAGATTTCAGGATGTCTACAGTGTCTTAGAAATTGATTATCTTCAAAGGTACTTGGCTTGTGTGGATCATATGAATCCATGTTCACTACATTAAGAACTGAGAAGTTTAAAACCTTTGCTTCTTTGAACATTAATGATAAAGTGCATGCAAGTAGAATATTTACAAAAAGGAACAACTATTTTCCACAATACAATGATATAATGAAACTGGTAGATGTTTACATGTCCGCCTGTACTTATCCTCATCTTCCCTACAAGACTTATCTTGGATTATGATTCTCCTTTTTAACAGTTTAGTTTTATGTACAGTTTAGGAAATGTATCTTCACAAAAATGTACAGGGAAAATACTTTTAAGATTTTGTTGTTATTTTTTGTTTAGATGTATGTTTGCTTGCTTATGTGTGTGTGAATGTTGGAAGTACAGTAGCCTGTGGAGTCGAGGAGAGGCTCTTAGTAACTCTGGAGTAGGAAGGACAGGAGGTTGTGAGTTCCCAGATTCCGAGACTCCAACTGTGTCGTCTACACAGTTTAGCCATCTCTCTACACACTGGGGAGAGTGTTTTTAATTAGTGTATTCAAATAATTTTATTTTTATCCTCCCCTTTTTTGATTGGCCTACAAGTCACAGACATCCACAGGTCTCTGTCCCATGAATACTGAGAGAAATCCATTTGCCATCATGCTGGGCTCACTGAAGATTTTTACCTTTCATACTTCACTAGTTTCATTCAGGTGTTACTTACATTCTGGAACTTAAAATACTATTGAATCTTTCATAGTTTGCTGCATCCATGTCCACAGGAGAATCTTGTTCATTGAGTACATTTTGTGTTATTAAATTTTATATTCGAAATTTTATCCGTGTTTTATATTTTATATATGAATTTATATTTTAAATGATGGGTAGAGAATGAGTGCAGAGTGGTCCTTATTCACTTTACCACTCTCATCTTCAGGATGAGGCTGACTGGCTTCTCTATGAAATCTCTATGAGAGTGACAGAGACCAGAAGTGTCATGGAAATCTTAATGATTGGGACAGGAATCTCCAGAGCCCCGATTCCCCACCACAGATCCAGCTCTGTGCTGTGGTATCCTGGGAGCAGTGTCTGGGGACAAGTTGTTTACCCTGATTCCTGTGTAATTGTCTTGTTGACAACATCCTTCTGAATCCTAGCACAGATGCTGATCTTGCTGACGGAATCAAGACAGAAATGGACAGCAAAGACCTATGTTGATTGGTGAAGCGTCCAGCTCTGGTTCCTGATCTGGGTTCCCATGGCCTCACTGTTATACTACGGTCCTTTCTTGTCTAGCTCAGTCCACCTGCAATAAGCCTTGGCTTCCTGGTGATCTTATCTCACAAGAGTCTCAGGGAGGCAAGGAAATCAGGATGGGAGGTGATCATACAGTCTGTGTCCCCAGAGAACATAGAGTAGAAGGGGCAGGAGCTGAGGAGGATAATGTGCTACTGACAGAACTCTGACGATTCCCATCTCAGACATTGGTCCAATATCTCCACATGACTGACACCAGGCTGATCCCATCAATGCCCAAACCCAGGCATTGAGCACAATACTCTGAACACACATGGGGGACCTTCTAAACACATATTACACAACTTGGGAGTGCAATGGATACCATTTCATATCTTTGAGACTTAGGACTCAGGACTCTTTCCTAATACCCTTTTATTGAGTTCTATATAGATATGGCCTCCCCTTGTCTCATCTGTGTCTACCCTATCATCATTCTTTACTTCTGATCTTATCTTGATGACAGAATTTGGGGCTGTGGCATGGGGTAAGCCACATGACTGTATAACTGTGGCTTGAGCAGGGAGAGAGATGGAAAACAAAAGGCATGCTAGATGGGGAGGACTTCCTGTACCTGAGATGCCCTTCCCTTCTGACTACAGAGGCTGTGACGTCAGATGTGGCTCAGATTTCACCTCTTGTCCATAGATTCAGTGCTGTGTTCCAAGTATAGAGGGGCTCCAAGTTAAGATCTGCTAGCCTGGTATGGAGAGGATGTAACACACACACACACACACACACACACACACACACACACACACACACAGAGAGAGAGAGAGAGAGAGAGAGAGAGAGAGAGAGAGAGAGAGAG